GTATTTCCGGCAAATTTGTTGCGGGCGTTTAAAAGGCCCGGCGAAACCAAATAAACCAAATCGAAAATCGCTTCGAAATAAAAGCTTTGCTAAAATATAAAGGGCTTTTGCAAAAACGAAAATATTTGGTTAAATGGATAAATTACAACGAATCGGAAAATTCGTAAATCCTAAAAAAGGATATTACGAAAAAGATTGTTTAAGCGTATAAAGCAAGCTTATTAAAAACGAGCTTATAGGATAAGGAAAATACCGAACCCTAACGGGTAAATACCCGGAAAGGACGGGGGTATTACAGGAAAAAAATAACAAAGGCCAAAAGAATAGCCTAAAAAAATATTTTAACGTACTAAACCGGTTAATTACCGGGGAAAAACGTAAAAAAACCCGTAAACGGTTTATAATAGCCGTAAAATATCGTACCCTATAAACAAAAAGTTAAATAAAAACGGTATAATACGGGAAACGCTTTAAATTAATAATGCGATATATTTAAGTCCCGAAAAATATGCAAAGTGTAACATACTTTAAAAAGCCCGTAAAAAGCATGCTTAGCGCGATACGCTAAAGCAATTACCGCATTTTAAACGTACGTTGTAGTAAAAAATACCATTGCCCGCCCGAAAAAAAAATGGAAAAACCTTTAAATGGTACGGCAAACGGGCTTAAGCGTTCGGGTAGCGGCAAATGCATATCGGCGGTATTTAAACCCATTGGAAAGCAAAAAAAAAGCATTTTAAAATTATTTATTGGAATATTAAAACCCAATTGGTAAATATAAATACCGGAACTTTGCAATGCTGCAAAAGCAATATAACGAAAAAAAACTATGGTTTTAATTGTAACAAATTAACGAAAAAATTTAAAATTAATTACTTTTCGAAAAGGGAATATTAGTAATTAATTAGGAAAATATGTAAAAAAAATCGATTAAATACCGTATTTAAAAAAACCAAAACTTTCGAAAACCACGTCCTTTTCGCTAGCGCTATAATTATTGCCGCTAAAATTGTTGGCGCCAAAAGCGGCACTTTCCGGCGCTAATACAAACGCCGCACCCTTACGGGGAACCGCGCGGTTATAAGCTTAAATATTTAAATGCGCCGTAATCGTAACAAAGCTAGCGGCAATGCTACCAAAAAAAGCAATTACACCTTTTTCGAAACGCTTAAAAAACGCTTTTACCTCGTTAAAAAAATTACCGATGCTAGCTAAAGCTTAAGCCTGCTTTTTCGTTTAAACGGCGATAGCGTAAAGCTATTAAAAAATGTTTTAAATAATTTCCAATATCGCAGCGCTAGCAATTTTGCGCTGGATGCGCTTTTAAATAACGGTTTAACGTTTATAGCGCGCAAATTATTCGGCCAATATGGTATAAAAGGATTTGGCCTTTTAAATGGCTTTGCGGGCGCGAAATTAGGCTTTAATAAGCTTTTCGAAAAGTTTTGGTATCGCTTCGAACAACCGCTTATAAACGGTATTTAAAATTTTGTAAAGGTTTTGGGCCATTTTTTAAAACCATTCGAAAAATTTAACGCAAATTTTGTTACCGATTACGTTTTTGCAATAAATACATTTAAAAAACCCTGTACAATTATCGGAACATATCGGTATACGGGGGTTAACGGTATAATTTTAATATGCTTAACAACCAAAACAAC